GGGCCAGGGGCTCACCACTCTCACAGTGAAGAACTTCTTCCTAATTTCCCATCTAAATCTCCTCTCTTCCAGTCTGAAGCCATTGGCCCTTGTCCTGTTACTGCAAGCCCTTGAAAAAAGTGCCTCCCATCTTTCTGAGAGGCCCCTTGCAGTCCTGGCAGGCCCCCAGCAGGTCTCCCCAGCTGGAGCCTTCTCCTCTGGGGCTGCCCCAGCCCAACTCTCTCCTGCTGGGCTCCCAGCAGAGGGGTTCCCCCCTCGGGGCATTGCTGGGGCTCCTCTGGCCCCGCTCCAGCAGGTCCCTGGCTCTGCTGTGCTGAGGACTCCAGAGCTGCCCCAGCACTGCAGGGGGGGGCTCCTCACAAGCAGCAGCCCAGCTCGTGTTCTCCCAGGGGACATGCTTCAGCCCCCAGATCATCTCTGTGGCCCATTTCATTCCCCCCTGTTTTATTTTCTGTCATTGATTTATTTTTAGTCTCTTGTAATTGCTATTTTTTGTTTAATTTTACTCCTGTAGCTCGGAGCGTAGGTTGAGCACATGGACTGTTCTTCAGCCTGGAAGAAACAGTGTCATTTTGCTTCCATGTGTGTCCAGATGGATCAAAGCATTTAAAAATGAGGAGAAATATTTTACATTGCATTTCAATAGATTGATAAACCACCATCCTACTGATTTTTCAGTGTCACCTTTATCCTCTCAGTTCTCTGTCCTCTTTATTTTCACACTTTCCTTTCTTGGCTCCCACCTTCTTCCTTTTTGACTGTTTTCTGCTCAGCAGAACTTCTTAATGCTTTGAATCAGGTGGTGGCTCAGGTGAACACACCCTCACCGTGATGCTTGGAAGAGCAATAGGGCAGATTCCCTTTGTTTTAAATAATTCCCATTTTTCTGTGGTGTCAGGGAGAGACCACAGCAGCGTGAGCAAAGCGATGGAGAAGTTGCAGCTCTTGGATTTTGTTTCTCACTCCACCACTACTCTACAAACCCAGCACACAGAAAATCCAAGTTATTTTGGGGCAAAACAGAGGGTTTTGCCTTTCAGCCTCTCAGCAGTGGTGTCACTGGGCAGCTGGGCTGAGCAGGAGGATTTGTTTGCTTTGGAGTAGGGAGGATTGCGACACGTTTTGAAACCTTATAAAAGGAACTGGAAACGGTGGGTTGTGAAATGGGCCAATCTTGGCCAGAGTGGAGCCTCTGAAGGGATTCTGGATTGCAGTTTAAAGGAAGTTTTGCGTAATCCTTTATCATCCTCATTCTGCTCTTGGTTTTTTTCTTTTCCTGGGTGGATAATGGGAGTTCTCTTTGTGCTGGTTTGTGCAGAAGGATGCTCTGATTTGTCATCCCCCCGTTTTCCAGGTTCAGCTTTTCAAGGACCTGATCTTATCGTTGTGTTGTGTTCTCTTTGTGGCTTTCTCTGAAAGAAATGACAGTCTCTGAAGTCTCATTGGGCTGGTTTAAGCTGGTGTAGGCAGGATAACGTCCTCTTCAGCACATTTACATCCCAGTCATCACAGAGAGATGGAAAGCAAGGAGTGAGTGTGAGACCTGGTGAGAGCATCCCCTGCAGAGCTACCTGTGCTCTGCCCACACTGAGCCTTCTAAGAAAAAACCGTTGTCCTCTGCTAGTCCTTTTATTAAGAGAGGTTATTAGGAGGGATTTTTATCTTCTCTCCCTGCCACTCTTCACTCTGTACTTGGATTCTTTGCTGCTGTTATTCTCCCCTCTCCAGGGCCCTCCACTTAGATTGCCTTGTAATATCAGTGATAAGTGCTGCAGGAAGAAGACTGAAGAAGAAGAAAGCAGAACAAAGGAGTTTTCTCTTGTCCCTGAGCTGTAGTTTGCCTTTCCCTGAATTACTTTCAGATGTCTGTTTTCCTACAGTTTGCATTACAAAGGAAAACTATGGACGAAAACCAAGGAGAAGCTGATGAGAGTTTTTATTCTTCAGTGTTCCAGGAGATGGTCTTTTGGGAGAGATCATCTCCAGATCAAAACTCTCAAATTTTAGAATGGAACAAGCACCTCTCCCAGTGAATTTTGCCTTTTAATCTCACATCCTTGAGACCTGAAAGGGGAAAAAGCAGTTGGCTTTCCCACAAGGAAGTGTTTACTGAGCTAGATATCTGCAAACGTGCTGGAGCTGTTGAGCCAAAACTTGGGATCAGGTTATGGTGGTTTTATGGCCTGTTGATAAAACGAAGGGTTATTTTTTTTGTCCACAACAGACCTGTTGTGCAGGAAGGGCAGAGGCACAGTTTGCAAACCCACCCCGCCGCAGGTAACACCTTCCTCTGTTACTCTCAGTGCAAACATCCCCAACTCCTGGAGCAGAAGCTTTTGGAGAGGCTCCCTGGGTGCCTGTGCTGTTCTTCGAGCACAATATTGTAGTTTATCAGGGGGACAGCAAAATTCAGGTCACACACAAATGCTTTCCAGGCCACAGGAATGGGGCTCTGCCAGTGTTTTCCTTGGGTGTGGAAACTCCTTCACCCTCTGCTAGGGAACCGTCTTCAAAAGCATTTGCCTTCTGTTCTGACTAGAGCTGAAAAGAGGAGAAGCAAGTTCTTTTCAGGGGGAAGAATTCTTTTCATCCTTGCTTTTCAGTCTCTGGTGCCTTTGGATATTTGGGAGTCGCAGGGCACGGGCCCAGGCTCGGCTGCTTTCCCAGGAGAGCTGCCTTGAGTCCCCTGCTCCCTTGGAGTCTCTGCTGGTCAAAAAGCTTCCACTTAGCCTTTGAAAATAGCCCTGAGCCTGGGGGAAGGAGGATTCCCTCAAGAAAATAAGTGCTGACTAGGAATAGGTGGTGGTAGACAGCAGGCTTGGCTTAGATAAAGGCTTTTACACCACATAAATTCAGGAAACTTCAAGTTTATGCTTTCTCTTACATCTGTAGTGTGCAGGAGGAATGGACTTTGGTGGTGGCTGTTGGACCAAACTGTTGTTTGGTGGGTGGTTGTTACCTGTTGTTTAACAGGCTTCTGTTAAAGAATAAACATCCCCTTTCAGAGACAAACTGTTCTGTGCAATAGGTAAAGAGGTGGTAGTTTAGTCTCCTTTTCAGCTCACTCCAAGTGTTTTGGAAGTCTGTTCTATGAATCTATACTGTAAGTTGGCTTGCCCACCCCCTCCCTTCTCTCCACCACCCCTGGAAAACAAAAAGGTAGAAAAAGCCCACGAGACAGTGCTGTGTGATCAGATATAAAACAAACATAAAGAGTCCTTTCTCTACCATTTCACACTTAAATTGTTGACCTTCCTGCTGCAGATTTTTCAGGTGAAAAGGGTATGAATGGTTGAGAAAGGAATTAGACAGAAGCTTGGATAAATGGTTTATTTAAATGTGCTGACTGAGGTGCATTCTCCAGGTTAAAGCACCTGAACTGTGGGTTTTGGAAGCTGGGTAATACATGGGCAAAATGCTCCATCCTCACTTTATTTGGCATAGTTCTTCCCAAACATTTGCTGTAGGCCATAGTCAGGAGGAGACACTGTGCTCAGCAGAGCTTGAGTTTGGCTGGGTGCAGCAGATTTTATGCTTCTGGACCACAGTAGTTTCTGTTTTCAAACATGCCACCTTGTTTGAGGAATGGATCCTGCTTAAATCATTGCAAAATAATAAGAATCATAGAATTGTTTAGGTTGGAAAAGATTTCTTATATCATCAAGTCCAACCATGAACCTAACTCTGCCAAGTCCACTGCTAAATCATGTCCCTAAGCACACAGCTACATGACTTTTAAACATATCCAGGGATGGTGATTCAGCCACTTCCCTGGACAGCCTGTTCCAGGGCTTGACAACCTTTCCAGGTTGTCAAGATAACAAAAAAATGAAGACATTTTTCCTAATATCCAGACTAAACCTCTCCTGGTGCAACATGAGGCCATTCCATCTTGTCCTGTCATGTGTTCCTGGGGAGAAGTGGTTGGCACCCAGCTCTCTACAGCCTCCTGTCAGGAGCTGTGCAGAGCCAGAAGGTCTCCCCTGAGCCTCCTTTGCTCCAGGCTCAGCACCCCCAGCTCCCTCAGCTGCTCCTCCCCACACTTGGGCTCTAGACCCTTCCCCAGCAGCTCCGTTGCCCTTCTCTGGCCACGCTCCAGCCCCTCCAGGTCCTTCTGGGAGTGAGGGGCCCAAAACTGACCCCAGGATTCGAGGTGCAGCCTCCCCAGTGCCCAGTCCAGGGGGACAATCCCTGCCCTGCTCCTGCTGGCCACACCAGTGCTGATCCAGGCCAGGATGCTGGTGGCCTTCTTGGCCAGTTGGGCACATGCTGGCTCATCCTCAGCCAGCTGCCCACCAGCCCTGCCAGGTCCTTTTCCTCTGGGCACTTCCCAGCCACTCTTCCCAAGCCTGGAGCCTTGCAGAGGGGGTTGGGAGGGAGGGAGGGTAGGGTTTTGGTACTAATAACTGGAATTCTAGACAGCTTGAGGATTACTCAGGTTAAACACATTTAATACACATTTATCTTTGAGGTGAGCCAAGCTGATTCCTTTGGGGTTTTCTATTTATGTTCCTTTTTCCTTCTTGCAGACCAAAAGGGGGTTGTGCTGGGGGCAGCAGTGATGCTACTCTTGATAGCCTCAGTGTCCTCATTTCTCTGCACTCCAGGTCAGGAATACGACCTCTGTATTGCAGATAATTTAGCCAAGCAAGAAGGCTTAATAAACCCATCCCTGAAGAGATGTGGTTTTGTTTTTTCTGAGAGGGTCTTGAGGGTACTTGTACCTTTGAGAATGGGCCTGGTTTGGGGCTTGGTTGAGTACTCACAATGCCAAGACATTTTCTTTTAAAGGTTTAAGAAGTTCTTTTGAAGAATAACAGTCTTTTAACACTGCTCTGTGGAAATGAACCAATTTCATCATCCTTCAGAAAGATGCAGATAAATACTTTCAGTTTCAATTGGTTTATTCATACTCATCCATTTCCTATTATTACTTCACTCCCTTTTATTTCACTTCTAACATGGTTTTGTTGTGTTTTCTCTTTTCCCTTCTTTTCCAGTGGTCTTATTGTTCCAGAGAAAGACAGCAACGAAACGGTCCCAGAGGTGGTTGCTACTTCTGGCTATGCCCTCCTGCACTTCTTCAGTGATGCTGCCTATAATTTAACAGGATTTAACATCACCTACAAGTAAGTGCTGCCACTCCAGAGTGCCCTGGCAGGATGAGCACAAGGAGGTTTCCTTTTTCTCTGTTTTATCTTGAAATAAGCAATTGCCATCGAAGCATGTAATTATGAGTAGATAACTTGGAATTTAGATTTTTATCTGTATTATACCTTGCAACAGCTAATAACTGTGATGTGCTCCACATCAGCTTCAGTTGTAAGCGTGGGCAAATGTTTGCTCAGAAAGGCTTTGGAGTATTTATTTTATGTTATTAGGTTGAGCTGATCACATTCAGTCAAGCAGAACTGATGTATTTTGTGCATGTGGGTGCTTTTAGGCCTTCTGCTTTCTCTGGGATGCTCTTTCTTACTCAGTCCTTGGATTGAATCACTTAATTTGGCTTCTTTATAGTTTGGAGTGGTTGTGTTACATTCTTTGGTTCATATTTTAAATATTATAGGTGGGTGCTATCTCTTTGCTGACATATATTTAGTCTTCATTGATAAGCTTTTAAAAAATAACTCTAGGGCATCCATCCTTTCTGCTTTTAGAAAGGTTTTGGTTTGAGGTAAATTGTCTCAGTGTGGGCATGATGGCAGAGGGTGCTATCTTTTTGTTGACATATATTTAGTCCTCATTGATAAGGTTAACAACTCTAGGGCATCCACCCTTTCTGCTTTTAGAAAGGTTTTGGTTTGAGGTAAATTGTCTCAGTGTGGGCATGCTGGCAGAGATGGAATTTGGTGGGGACTGTGGGCTTTGAATGTTTTTGCTGGCACAGATACAGTTGATGTTTGTGCTGCACTGGGAGGTTTTAATATTGGCTGTAACTCGCAGAAGTTCTGACCTCTTTCAAAAAAAAACTCAGCTGCAAAATCCTTGGTCACAACTGACTTTCTGCAAAAATTGGAGAGCCTTCCTTAAAATGAGGTGCTTGGATTTTGGACACCAGTCTCGGTGCTTTCATCCTTACCAAGCACTTCAATGCACAGCAGATTCTTTGGAGAACGTGGGGCACTGAGCACCCCTCGAAAACTCCCCAGGACAAGGAGGAGCCTTTGCAAAGCTGAAAGGCAGCAGCTGGAGCAGGAGGATTTTGGAGGTCTGGCTGATAACATAAACCATGCCACCATCTACTGCCAGCTGCCTGTACTGCAGCACAGCAGAGACACCCTCTTGGAGAACAACCTGCCTTTTTTTCATGTTCTTTTTAAGAGATTTTAATATTTCTTTAACTCTTGGATTTCCTGATCATTTCAAACAACTTTCCAGCAGTTTCTGCTTTGTTTCTTTGCTGTGCTCTGGTCGTTTGGTTTCCTCCTGAAGTTTTTGCAGAGAGTAAAGGCTGGATTTCTTTGCAGTTTAAATCTTTATAGTTACTACTGGACAGAGAATACTTGACAAATGCTTGTGAAACTGTGGTCGTGGAGCCAATGATTGAGTTATACTGGTTGATAATAGCTGGAGTTATTATCTGTAAGTTATACTGGTTGATACCAGTATTATAACTGGAATTTGGAAGTTCATTTGGCTCTTCATCAATAATGTAGGTGGTTTTGCCTCAGCTACATTGCAGATATTATAAAATCAGAAATAATTCAGAACCAGGCACATCTTTGGCTTGGGATTCATCTCAAGTGTCTTCCTTTGGTAATAGATCCCAGAATAGCAGCTGATGGTGAGTAATTAAAGTATAAATTTCACAGACATCACACAAGCCTTAAGCACTGGTAAGGTTTAACTTACTGCTGGGTGTTTTAAAGCAATTAATCTGCATTACAAATGGCTAAAACTCCTATGGATAAGTTTTCAGAGGAGTTGCAAATGTCGCTCATGAAATGAGAGAAGAAATCTCTACAGGTCCATTGCATCAGGTTCTAGATGAGCAGCTCTTGTTGGGTTGTGTGTCAACAACCTGTTGTATCAACCTCTGGTCAACACCACTGTGGTATGTGTTGAAGAGGCACGGCTGGGGGATCCATCTGAGGACTGACAAAGCTTCTTCCTCTGCTGCCCACAGTTTCAATATGTGTCCCAATAACTGCTCTGGCCGAGGAGAGTGCAAGCTCAATAACAGCAGCAATGCTCTTGAATGTGAATGTGCCAAATACTGGAAGGGAGAAGCCTGTGACATTCCCTACTGCACAGATGATTGTGGGGCACCCGAGAGGGGACACTGCAACTTAAATGATACCAAGGCATGTTCTTGCTCTGCAGGCTGGCAAGGTGAGTCTTCTGATGAGTATGGGGATGACTTTTCTATCTCTGGCTCTTGCAGTTTGGTTGGGAATAGAAGTTCTCCACCATGAGAGTGGTGAGACCCTGGAATGGGTTGCCCAGGGAGGGGGTTGAGGCCCCATCCCTGGGGGTCTTTAAGGCCAGGCTGGAGGAGGCTCTGAGCAGCCTGATCTAGTGGGAGGTGTCCCTGCTCATGGCAGAGGGGTTGGAACTGGGGGATCCTTGTGGTCCCTTCCAGCCCTGACAGATTCTGATCTGTTTTAGCAGAGGACTTTAGAGCCCTAATGGCTCAATGGTTGGACTTGATGATCTTGAAGGTCCCTTCCAACCTAAAGGATTCTATGATTCCATGACTCACACAGAATGGTGGGGTTGGAAGGGTCATCTGGAGATCATCCCATCCCACCCCCTGCTCCAGCAGCTCACCCCCAGCAGGGTGCCCAGGGTCACAGCCAGGAGGGTTTGGGATCTCTCCAGAGCAGGAGACTCCACAGCCTCTCTGGGCAGCTGCTCCAGGCTCCAACACCCTCACCCCAAAGAAGTTTCTCCTCCTGCTCAGGTGGCACCTCCTGGGTTCCAGTTCACTTTGTTGCATCACTGACCCATCTACTCTGCAGCTGATCTTTGGTTCTGAAAATGATTTAGAATTGTAAATACGTGGTTCCAGTTGGGAGATAAATCACAGATTGCTGATGTGGGCAAGGAAATGAGGATCACAACTTTCATCTGGCCACGCACCATCTTTGTCAACTGTGCAAGCAAAATATTGACCTCTAGTTGAAACACAGGCTTTGGGAAAAAAAACCAGCTTAGTTTTTAAACCTTGTTTTCCCTACAACTTTCATCTGGCCATGCACCATCTTTGTCAGCTGTGCAAGCAAAATATTGACCTGTAGCTGAAACACAGGCTTTGGGAAAAAAAAACCCAACAGCTTAGTTTTTAAACCTTGTTTTCCCCAGGTCCTGGCTGTTCAATTCCTGTCCCTGCAAACCAGTCGTTTTGGACCCGGGAGGAATACTCTCTTCCAAAACTTCCCAGAGCATCTCACAAAGCTGTAATCCACGAGGACAAAATGTGGATTGTTGGAGGCTATGTCTTCAATCACTCTGACTCTCAGAAGGTTTTGGCGTGAGTATAAACCTAGAGAATAAAGTCTTAAGTGGAGGAACTTGGATTTGGGAATTATTTTTAGCAAATGCCATCTGACATGCTGTGTTTTGACCTAGGCTCCATCTCCAGGGGAAAACAGTAATAAAAACTTAACACTCAGGTTTGAGAGGTGGGAAAATGCTGCTAAGGGATGCTGATTTTGGCAACGAAAAAGCATCAGGTTCCTGATGTTCAGTGAGGTTTTGATGCATCTGCTTCTGATGGCATTTAACTATTCACATTATATTTCTAGGCTAGCTTCTAAATGGTATCTGGCTTTCTATTCCAAGAGGGAAGTTTTGTTTCAGGGTTGTTAGCCCTTAGATTGTATCTGTGTGACTTCAGAGTGTCTGGCTCCTTAATTAATACATCCAGGGACACCAGGCAGGGAGTGGCCTTTAGGATGGTGACATCTCTGTAATTAGTTGAGGAGATTTAACAGTAACTAAAAAGACCAAATAATTGTGTAGCTCGTGGAAATCCCCTTTTAAAAAAGCATTTCAAGCTTCCTTTTGAGCTGATAGTATTGAGGCAGATCCAGGTGGAAGCTGGACTTTTCCCCAGGGATACCTGCAGATCTCCTCAGAGATTATTTTATCTCATGAGGCTGTAAACCTGATGAGTGGAGTTCATCCTTCTATCTAAAAAGCCACAGGCCATTTTCAGGGCAGAGGGTTTATCTTCTCTCAAGATCACAGGAAAAAATACAGTTGAATGACAAAGACTTCATTAAAAAAATTCTTTTAAATGCTTTTTTTATCAAGTTGTTGGAACTTACCTGAGCTAAAGCATAAAGTTTTTCTGCTCTGGTTGTATTTTGTGGTGTGAGTTGTCATAGCTTAATAAGACAATGGTTAATTAGCTAAATAAATAGCTTAATAAGACAAAGCTCTTGCATTAGCATAGGGAAGAAACTCAGGCTAAAACAAACTAACACATGGGTGTTAAATAACAGAGCAGGCTGGGCTGGATTTTTTAAATCCCTGAGTAGTCTGACTGTGCTTTGTGCATGCTGAAATCTTGGCCTGTAGGACTTTTGGTAAATCATTTCCTACAAACTTGGCAAAGAAAAAGCCATCATTTTCTCAACTCTAATAATCTACTTCTTGGGGAATGAATTCAGGTTTTGTTATACAGGTATGATCTTATTTCTGAGGAGTGGCTTCCACTGAACAACACTGTGAACGCCGTAGAGATGAGATATGGTCATTCATTGGCACTGCATAAGGTAAGTTTGGTGCTGCAGATGGACCTCAGGGCTGACTTCTCCTCCTTCACCCTTGCCCCAGGTCAGTCTTGCTCTGGGAGAAGAATTTCTCCTTCAAAGACCTGTCCACTGACATCCCAGGCTGTGCAGTTGTCCTGCAGGGAACCCCTGGCCTGCTGTCGTAGGAAATCCATAGTGCCTTTGCTTGTGTCTTCCTTCCTTGCCCTTTTCTCAGAGATTTTAAGTCTGGCTGAGGTCAATGAGTCCATCATTTCTCTCAGACTGCCTGTGCTTGCCAGACAATGCCCAAGGGCTACAGTTTGCTGGAGTTCATCTGGTTCCCCAACTGCCTTTTTTTGTAGCCCACAAATATTTTTATGAGCTCCGTTGTCCGAGGCACTAAAGCAGAGCTGGTGAATTGGGGATTTTTGGAGCCTGCTCTCCTCCTGCAGTAGACCCTTGAATCTGTTCTGCCAGCATGTGGATTTGACCATTTTTTGCCTCATTTCTCACCTGCTGGGGGTGCAGGCCACGTGAGAGCAGACTGGCAAAGCCTTAGAAAAGGAAGTGAACTAATCCTTTACTGACCTTTTGGTTTTGGAATGTTAATTAGCTCATCACAGTGCAAGACATTCTAAAGCATGATTATAAACACTTGAAAAACTCCACGCAGCACTGTTCAAAAACAAAACACTTGAAAAACCTTAGAGGAGTGGAAATCCTTACCTGTGAGAGCTCAGTGCACATTCTGCAAATGACTGTTCAAAAGCAGGGTATGATCCAAAAGAGGAATTGCATCCAAAGAAGGGCAACGAAGCTGGGGAAGGGTCTAGAGCCCAAGTGTGGGGAGGAGCAGCTGAGGGAGCTGGGGGTGCTGAGCCTGGAGCAAAGGAGGCTCAGGGGAGACCTTCTGGCTCTGCACAGCTCCTGACAGGAGCCTGGAGCCAGGGGGGGGTCGGGCTCTGCTCCCAAGGGACAAGGGACAGGAGGAAATGGACTCAAGTTGCTCCAGAGGAGGTTGAGGTTGTCCCTGAGGAACAATTTCTTCCCCTTTAGGGTTGTCCAGGCCTGTCCCACACTCCCACCACAGGGCAGTGGTGGAGTCCCCATCCCTGGAGGATTTTCTTGTGCTCTAGACCCTTCCCCAGCAGCTCCGTTGCCCTTCTCTGGCCACGCTCCAGCCCCTCAAGGTCCTTCTTGGAGGGAGTGGCCCAAAACTGACCCCAGGATTCGAGGTGCAGCCTCCCCAGTGCTCAGTCCAGGGGGGACAATCGCTGCCCTGGTCCTGCTGGCCACACTAGTGCTGATCCAGGCCAGGATGCTGGTGGCCTTCTCGGCCACCTGGCCTCACACTAGCTCATCTGCAGTTGGCTGTCAGCCAACACTCTCAGGCCCTTTTCAGCCAGGCACTTTCCAGTCACTCCTCCCCCAACCCTGGAGCTTCAGCCCATCAATCCAGCCTGGCTCACGTCCCTCTGTAGAGCCTCCTATGCTCCAGCAGTTCAACACTCCTGCCTAACCTGGTGTTGTCTGCAAACTCACTGAGGGTGCCTCAATCCCCTCGTCCAGATCATTGATAAAGACATTACAGAGAGTTTTCCCCAGGACTAAGCCCTGGGGTACATGACTTGTGATGGGCCACTACCTGCATTTAACTCCATTCAGCACCACTCCTTGGGCCAGGCCATCCAGCCAACTCTACCCCATGAAGATTACACCCAACAACCCTCAGCTAGTGTGTAGGTACCTTAGTCCTGGTGGCTGTCATCTGAAGGTCAGTCCTGTGTCATGCACCTCTTCCCCTCTGTACCCTGATGTGGGGTGAGATGTGTGTGGTGAAGGTGTCCTGACATTATGGACTTGGGTACAGCCCCCTGCAGTCATTGTTCCTTTCATATCACATATGGTGGAGATCTGTTTCTGCTTGAGGGAGGAGGAAGACTTGGGCTGAGAAAAGATCACAGAGTGGTAGACTGGTTTGGGTTGGAAGGGACCTTTGGAGGTCACCTAGTCCCAGCCCCTGCACTGAGCAGGGACATCCCCTGAATGTCAGGCAAGTACCTTAAAACTAAAGATCATCCATTCCCACATCTTGTCCAACCCCCTGCAGGGAGCAGGGACATCCCCAACTAGAGCAGGTTGCTCAGAGCCCTGGCCAACCTCACCTGGGATGGTGCCAGGGATGGGGCAGCGACCACCTCTCTGGGCAGCCTGGGCCAGGGGCTCACCAACCTCACTGTCAAACATCCCTTCCTTCTCTACTCTACATCTCCCTCGTTGAGTTTCAAACCATCCCCCCTTGTCCTGTCCCAACAGGTCCAGCTAAATAGATTATCCCCAGCTTTTTGATAGGCCCCCTCTATATCCAACCACGATCTAAGCACTTCCCAAATGCCAGAGCTGTTTTGCATGTCTCTCCTTCCAGGATGACATATACATGTACGGTGGGAAGATCGACGCGACGGGGAACGTCAGCAGCCAACTGTGGGTGTTCCACATCCCCACCCAGAGCTGGACCCTGGCCTCCCCCAAGGCCAAGGAGCAGTATGCTGTGGTTGGCCACTCGGCTCACATCGTCACCCTGCAGGACAACAGCACGGTCATGCTGGTCATCTTTGGGCACTGTCCTCTTTATGGGTACATCAGCAACGTCCAGGAGTACAACCTGGGTGAGTGGGACCTTTCCAGCCAGTTGCTTCTCTTTAAACCCTTGGCTTCAGTCGTTTGACTGGTCTGTAGCCATCCAGCAAAGCAAAGAGAGATGTTCTCCTTTCATTTGTGTCTTGGAGAAGTTCATTCTACCTTCAGTGTTTGTGTAGCACAGAGCTGGGTAACTGTGGGACAGTTGGGATTCATGTTCCTCTCTGCAGCTGACAAAGCAAACTCTTCTCAGGTTATTGCTGTGTCCTGTGCATAAAAGGATGGCTGTAAAAGTTCAGAACAAGTTTCCACTTAACCAGGTACCTCATCTCCATTAGTGGTCATTAACCAATGCTTAGGGGAACAGGGAATGAATTTCTGGACTCCCATATCTCTGGTAGGATCTGGTCCCCATCTCCCTGGGAATAGTCCATACTCTGATTTTAGGATCCAGAGAGTTCCAGTATCACCAGCTCAGCAGGTGAGCTGGATTTCTACCTACCTTAGCTGCTGTGAAGTGGCTCTCTGGAGGCATGTCCCTTGCTCCACTCTAGACCAGGCAGAGGACACAGTTAAGCACAGGGGGTTCACATTGTGAATGTGCTGGTCATTGTCAGAAATACTCATAGGATGGTTTTGGTTGGAAGAGACCTTTAAGGTCATGGAGTCCAACTGTTCCCCCAGCCCTGCCAGGTCCCCACTGCCCCGTGTCCCTCACCCCACATCTCCACGGCTTGGAAACCCCTCCAGGGGTGGGGACTCCACCACTGCCCTGTGGTGGGAGTGTGAGACAGGCCTGGACAACCTTTTTGGGGAAGAAATTGTTCCTCAGGTTCAACCTAAACTTCTCCTGGTACAACTTGAGGCCCTTTCTTCTTGTCCTGTGGCTTTTTCCTTGGGAGCAGAGCCCGACCCCCCCCTGGCTCCAGGCTCCTGTCAGGAGCTGTGCAGAGCCAGAAGGTCTCCCCTGAGCCTCCTTTGCTCCAGGCTCAGCACCCCCAGCTCCCTCAGCTGCTCCTCCCCACACTTGGCCTCTAGACCCTTCCCCACCTTTGTTGTGCTTTTTAGGAGAAGCTCCAGTATGGCCTTATCTGTGCTTTTGACCTGTTGTCCTTAATGATCCTGCTCCAGAGCACCCACTGGCACCTGCCCTGGTTCACTGGTGTCCACATGAGGGAACTTTATTCCTCTAGGAGAAAGCTCTAGGAGCAAACCAGGGCATGTGGGGCAGCAGTCTGTTTTTCTGCTGTTGTTTTTCCCACGTGTGATCTTGCAGACTCTTAAATCTCTTTGCTTTTTGTGTGCCTGAGCTTCTCTGGAGTCCAGAAGCCTGTGCAGGGTTTCATTCTGCACTTACTACTGAGAATTGGTGTGTAATTTGACATTTTTGTTTCAGTTGCCATTACATTATGTCTAGAGTGCTTCAAACCAATGTTATTTTAGCCAGGGAGCTCCAGGACTGTTAATCACATATTAGTTTTTAACTGCAGTGTTCTTCACAGTCATACTTAAGTTGGCTTCAGTGCTGTCTGCCTTTATATATATCAAATCAAAATGCTTTTGGGTCCCATTCCAAATCAAACCATGGAGCTGGCGTTTTGAAATTGAAATGTCATTGAAATGCAATATATTATTTTTGTGCTTTTTATCTCTCATTTACTTAGCTTCCCTTTAAAATGGAATAAGAGACTGCAGAGGAGCTCTTTCTGCTCTTATTAAAAACATTTGACACTTCTTCTTGACAACAGACCCCTGCTGGGGAGAAGATTTTTGGATGGGAAGGGATAGAGACGGTGTCTAGATCTGAGGCAGGGGAAACTCAATTTGTTTCACCACCAAATTAGTTGATCAGTTTTTAATGGAGGGGAATTAACCATGTCCTGTTCCTCCCATTTTTCATTTCTCAGCCACCAATACCTGGAACATTTTACAGACAAGTGGAGCTTTGGTGCAAGGAGGGTATGGTCACAGCAGCGTTTATGACCCAAATACCAGATCCATCTATATCCACGGAGGTTACAAAGCCTTCAGTGCCAACAAATACAGGCTGGCAGATGACTTGTACAAATATGAGGTCGATTCCCGGATGTGGTAAGTGGTTCTTCTTCCTCTGTGCCACCCCAGGGTTGCTTGTAGAGGACAAGAAGAGGGGGTGTTGGCCAAGGGTACCGTAGTCCACGGTTCCCTGCATTCAGAGGGGATAATGTGCTCTTGTATCTGTTATTTTCACATCCCTTTATGACTAGAGCATCATATAATCACACATAATCAAGGCTGTGAACGAGCCAAAAAATCCATTTCAATCTATTGTCGTATTAAAGCTGAAAAGAAAAATATTTGATGGGGTTTTCTTGCCAGCAGCACAGACTGTGCATACGAGTGCAGTTACTGCAGTCAGCTGAGTGATAATTCATGCTGCAGTTAAGACCACAGAAGAATTTCTATTATAACCCCATTTTCTTCTGGCTCTGTAACTGCTTGAAACGTTCATTTCTTAAGCTGAAATCTTCAGTGATTTTTTTTTTTCTACCCAAAGGTGAGTTTTATTAAAAAGCTATAGCAAAACTTGACAACTTGGAGCTGGAGAGACAAAATACCTTTGCCTCAGATTCATGCTTAAAGTTGTTTTTAAAGGCTCCTGACAAAAAGAGGAGCTTTATCTTTTGAGTTGCCACATGTAAATTTGAGTCACTGTCTCTCTTTGAGAGTTCCAAATAGCTTCTACTTCTGCAGCAACTGTTTGGGAGGCTGGAGTGATGAGTAAAGTCACTAGTGAGTAATTTCCTAAACGCTTCCTTCCTCCTCCGCTGCACATGCAGCAGTAACCACGCTTCCTTTCTTCATTTCAGCCTCCACCTCAGCCACAGAGCAGGGAAATCTGCCTGAATAGGCAGAAAATTGCCCACATGTGACAATACTCTTTCAAACTGCTGCAGCCCCAGCTTCCTTTGGTGGCTCTTGTTCTGTCAGGCTCGAGAGGACTCTCAGAACAAGGAAGGAGTCACCTTGCAGCCAGGGGTGCAGGAGTGTCTGCTCTTCTTGAGCTACACATTTTTGGTGTCACTGAGTCCCTTTTTTTCCATCCTGCAGTAATTTAGACCCTCTGTCCCTCTTGTGATTTTACATAAGGGTAAAAAAGCAGTCCCCTGATCTATATTTTGGCAACTTTATCCCTGTGTTTCAACTGGCAGCTTCACAGTCTAACGCTGTAGCCTTGGCAGGGACAGAGAAATGCTCAGGGAGTCTGTGTGCTGTGGTACCACTGCTCCTACATCAGACACAGCTCCTTGCTCTGGGTCTAAATATTGCAGAATATTTCATTGTTAAAGTCTGGGCTTCCATTTGGGATGCTGCTGTTCCGTGGTGTCTCCACTGCCTGAGACGCAGACGTGGCTTGGGATTTCCCTGCAGTCCCAAAAGCCCCAAATTCCCAGGGAGACTCTCCAAAGGGTGACTCGTGTTCAGTGCTGTTGATCATCCTGATTCAGAGTGAGATCAGCAAGAAGTTTGATTGATGCTTCCCAGGATTTAGTCTTGGATGAAGTGTTGAGTTTGGAGGGTGTTAAGCTGCGGAGCCGCGTTCTCGACAGCTGAATAAATAGCCTTAAAGTAGGTTTTTTAGTTTTGAGCAACAGGTGGTGCCAAGTTTGAAAGAATTCTTTAGGTTACTATGAAAACAGAGTTACTCTAAAATATTGGAGTCCTCCCAGGTGGTGTCCATAGCAGCAGGTTTAGCTGACTGTGCTCTGAAGAGCAGTTAGTGTGAAAATTTGATAATCCCCGGGGAAGGAATCGATGATTTTAAGATCCATAGCTTTGGAAAGGGGCTTTCATAATAGATTTCTCTTATAAATTGGCAAGCAGATAGGAAGATGAGAGAAGAAAATGGCAGGAGGAATCGAACAGTGGGGAAAGAAAGTTCTTAAAGACCTCATGAGAAAAAGCAGATCAGTCAAATCTCCTCCCGCCTCCAAAACCTCCTTGGACTTGGATTTCTGGGTGGGTTTCTCCTTGCCAGGTACTGCTGGGTTTCATTAACACACAGCCCTTTCTCTTCCTGAAGGACAATTCTCAAAGACAGCCGCTTCTTCCGCTACCTGCACACGGCCGTGATCACCAGTGGGACCATGCTGGTGTTTGGAGGCAACACCCACAACGACACCTCCATGAGCCACGGGGCCAAGTGCTTTTCTTCAGACTTCATGGCCTATGACATTGGTGAGTCCTCAGAGAAATCAGAGCTCCTTTTTGTTTTCCCCAGATATTCCAAGAGAGCTGTTTTTAGAATGACTGATTTCCAGGCTGGGTGTATGATACTAAACACTGCTAAGCATGCTGCAGGAGAAGAGGTAATCAGGAGAGGCTCGTTTAGCTTGCTGCCCATTACCAAGCAAATGAGCTGGTGCAGTGATTTCTAGGCAAATGGAGCAGCAGTTATTTGGTCAACAGTTTATACACAACCTTAGGCCTTCAGAATTATTTCTTACACAGAAAGCATGTTGTTCTGCCAGCTCGGCCATAAAGCTGTCCTGTTCTGCAGGGAGCCAGACCTACCCTGGGCTGCCCCCCCAGCAGCGTGGGCACAGGGCAGGGAGGGGACCCTGCCCCTCTGCCAGCTCTGGGAGACCCCCCTGCAGTGCTGGGGCAGCTCTGGAGTCCTCAGCACAGCAGAGCCAGGGACCTGCTGGAGCGGGGCCAGAGGAGCCCCAGCAATGCCCCGAGGGGGGAACCCCTCTGCTGGGAGCCCAGCAGGAGAGAGTTGGGCTGGGGCAGCCCCAGAGGAGAAGGCTCCAGCTTGGGAGACCTGCTGGGGGCTGCCAGGGGCCTGCCAGAAAG